GTTGGGCCTGGGCAACCCGTCGGCTTAACCTCCGTCGTGCATGATAAGCGCGGCTCGCAGCATTCTTTAATCTCCTTGTCGTGTTCTCATCAGGCGCGTGCTGCGCTGTGGCGTACGCGGGTGGACTGGAATGTGCGCTGCCGAGTGTGTTGGCGTGTACTTGGCACGTCTACGCACATGACTGCGGCATCGCAGGGGTTGACTGCCGAGTACTGGGCACGCGTGCGCGTTACTGGGCGCGCGGACGCTGCCTGCATACTCGCTGGACCTGCCCGGCGCGCCGAACGCGCACGCTGTGTGCGGTAGGCATTACGGTCGGCATTTCGTCGGCCGTCCGGCTACTTTTTCCGGCAATTCACATATGACTTATCATGAAATGACTTGATAAGACTAAATATACATAATTTGTTCGGGACTTGCCGGTTAGATTTTGAAATCACTCGGAGAGGGCTTATATAGCACCTCTGAAGCCATTTTTGCTCATATCTTAAACCGAATGACATGATTTTGACATGATCTTCCTAACATGAGCTTAAATGCATGAAAATAGGGTAAATAGATGTATACCCTTCAGTTTACTCGAGGATTGCACGGTGACTTGCACGTGTGTTCGGCGCTCGGTTTGATGTCCTTGTGCTTCTCCCTTGCTTCGGCAATGCTTAGCTATATTTGTATGATTTTTTTTTCTTTATTTTTCCTCACTATTTTTCCCTCAATTTATGCTCTGAAAGTGGCTCGGTTTTGTGCATGAAATGTGCATGAAAATGTTACACGCACGGTTACTTATGGAGAGGTAAAACCGAGGGTAAAATTCGGTCAAGGGAGGTGTTAGATGATGAAGAGTTCCTTTGAGGACAAGTGTCCAGGTCGTGGCTGAGGTGGAACATTTGTGGCTTAGTCATCGGCCGATGTGGCGGCCATGCATGAGCTTAGTCACCACTCACGGCCCCATGCGTCGCCATGTGTGCAAGTAAGTAGGTGACTCACCCCTACAACTTGCACCCCAACATTTATCCTTGGTAATTCTTGGACGGCTTTATTAAGAAGTTGGAATAAGGTTTGCTTAGCTTGATCATAATGCTTAATGGATCATAAGCGTGCGCTTGAGGGCTTAATGGCACGGGCTATGCGCTGTGCGCGACGATGCGTGTTGTGCGCGTTCGCGTGCGCAGCTGTACGCACGACATGCATGCATGAGTGCATGCTTAGTGCACCTTGTGTGCATTCGTGACTTGGCTTGGTTTCGACTTAGAACTTAATTCCGAACATGCTTAACTATTAATAATTAATCCCGATTAATAATTTCCGTTTATAAAATAAACGGTTCAGAAATTAATTATCGATTTTGACTCGGTTAATAATTAACCGAATAAACTTTTGACTTAATGTTGAACTAATTCACTTAAACGCTGAAAATGAACGGAATTAATAAAAGAAATACATCATTTTTATTAGCAAAAAGTTGGGTTATTACAATCTACCCCCCTTAAAATATTTCCGTCCTCGGAAATATAAAGCTGAACATATATACATGAAAAGACATATACATCAGAACTGAAAATCAGGAAAACGAGCGCGAATGTCAGCCTCCTGCTCCCAAGTATCTCCATGGCGATCCCACTGAATACGAACGAGGGGACATCACGCTTCCGGAGCCGTCGAACCTGTCGGTCCAACACAGCTACCGGTCGTTCCTCGTAAGATAAATCTGGATGGATATGAATATCTGTATGGGGAATGACATGATCGGGGTCGCACACGTACTTGCGTAACATAGATACATGAAATACATTATGAACACTGGATAACTTGGGAGGTAAGGCTAAACAATACGCAACATCGCCCACTCGCTCAAGTACTTCGAACGGGCCAATGAACCGAGGGTGTAACTTCCCTCTCTTCCCGAATCGAACAACTCCGCGAAATGGACTGACTCAGAGAAAAGCGTGCTCGCCAACCTCGAATTGGATATCTCGTCGATGATGATCGGCGGTTGATTTCATTCTACTCTGAGCTGTTCTGAGTCTCTGCCGAATCAACTCGACTTGTTCTGCTGTCTCTTCGATCAATTTCGGACCGAGTACTCGATGTTCACCAACGTCGTCCCAATAGAGAGGGGAACGACATTTACGACCGTATAGTGCCTCATAAGGAGCCATCTGTATAGAAGAATGATAACTGTTGTTGTACGTGAACTCAACGTACGGCAATAACGACTCCCATTTAGCACCCCTGTCAACAACCAAAGCTCGCAACATATCCTCCAACGTCTGTATAGTCCGCTCCGTCTGTCCGTCAGTCTCTGGATGGTAGGCTGAACTGAATGCTAGCTTCGTGCCCATTGCCTCTTGTAAACTCTGCCAGAATCTACTGGTGAATCTAGGATCTCTGTCTGACACGATAGTAACAGGCACTCCGTGGAGTCGAACGATCCCACGGACATAAATCTCAGCCAACCTGTCCAAAGACATATTCATTGATACTGGCAAGAAATGAGCAACCTTAGTCAATCTATCGACCACGACCCAGATAGCTTCGTGATGTTCAGACGACCTCGGTAACCCCGTGACAAAATCCATCATAAGCTCCTCCCACTTCCACTTCGGAATTGGCAGTGGTCGTAGAAGGCCTATGGGACTCTTGTGCTCGGCTTTGACTTGCTGACAGGTTAAACATCTTCTCACAAAGTCGGCTACGTCTTTCTTCAATCTTCGCCACCAAAACGACCTTTTCAGGTCATGGTACATCTTTGTACTTCCTGGATGGGCTAGATATGGTGTGGTATGAGCCTCAGATAAGATCTCCTTTCTCAATGCTTCGACTTTCGGCACCACAATCCTGCCACGAAACTCCAAGGCCCCATCAGTGCCTCGGTGAAAACCCTCGACGCCTCTGGCGCTAACTTTGGCATCAATTGCACGAATAAACTCATCAGAAGCCTGCTCTTGCTGGATTCTTTCTCTCAGCGTCGGCTGAACCTGCATGGAACTCACACTCCCCGTACTGACTGAAGGAAGTGCATCAATCACCTGAATCTACATTCGGGCAAACTCCTGAATCAACTGACTCTGCTGAGTAACGACGTAAGTCAAGTCACCCTTCACCTTACGGCTTAGGGCATCAGCAACAACATTAGCCTTTCCCGGATGGTACTGAATCGTACAATCATAATCCTTGACGAGCTCTAACCAACGGCGCTGTCTCATGTTGAGCTCCTTCTGAGTAAAGATATACTGTAAGCTCTTATGATCGGTGAAAATCTCGCATCGACCGCCGTATAGGTAATGTCGCCAAATCTTGAGAGCATGAACAACTGCAGCTAATTCTAAATGTGCGTCGGGTAGTTCTGTTCATGTGGTTTGAGCTGGCATGAAGCATAAGCAATGACCTGGCCATCTTGCATAAGTACACATCCCAAACCCTGCCTCGAAGCATCACTATAGATAGTGAAACTCCGAGAAGGATCTGGAATAGTCAACACCGGTGCTGTCGTAAGTCTTCTTTTCAGCTCTTGAAAACTCGACTCACAACGGTCTGTCCATTCAAACTTCACAGACTTTCTCGTCAGATGGGACAAAGGGAGGGCAATCTTCGAGAACCCCTCAATAAATCTGCAATAATAACCTGCAAGGCCGAGGAAACTACGAACCTCGGACAGATTCTTCGGTGCTGACCAATTCTGAACTGCAGCAATTTTGGAAGGATCAACCTCAATACCTGCTTGAGTAATAATGTGGCCAAGAAAGGCCACTCGCTGAAGCCAAAATTCGCACTTGGAGAACTTTGCATATAACTTCTCACGTCTAAGGGTTGAAAGAACAGCCCTCAGGTGCTCCTCGTGCTCCTTCTGGCTCTTGGAATAAATAAGAATATCATCGATGAAAACAATAACGAACTGGTCGAGAAAAGGATAAAATACACGGTTCATCAAGTCCATGAATACTGTCGGGGCATTACTGAGGCCAAACGGCATAACCACAAACTCGAAGTGACCGTATCTTGTACGAAACGCTGTCTTGGATATATCTGACTCCTTAATTTTTAGCTGATGGTAGCCTGAACGCAAATCAATCTTGGAAAACACGCAGGCACCCCTCAACTGATCAAATAAATCATCGATCCTAGGAAGCGGATATTTATTCTTAATCGTCAACCGGTTAAGATCCCGGTAGTCGATACACATACGCATGGATCTGTCTTTCTTCTTGACAAAGAGAACTGGTGCTCCCCAAGGAGAAACGCTCGGTCGTATAAAACCTAGATTCAGCAACTCTTGAATTTGGGTCTTTAATTCCTACAACTCTTTAGGTGCCATTCGGTACGGCGCCTTAGAAACGGGTCCAGCTCCAGGGATAAGATCAATAGGAAATTCCACCTGTCGGCTAGGTGGACCTCCGGGAAGCTGGTCTAGAAACACGTCCACGAACTCACAAACAATAGGAATGTCATGAGGTGACTGTGCCTTGGGCTCATTTCCAACGAGGCTCACAAGATAACCCTGGCAATCACCCCGTCGAAGGATCTTTCTGGCTTTCGCCATAGAAATAACATGAGGCAGAGTACGAGTCCTGGAGCCGTAATAAGTGATCTGATCATCTCCTGGAAGATAAAGAGTAATCTCCCGGTCGTGACATCGGATATCTACGTGAAAACGCGTTAGCCAATCCATACTGAGTATGAGGTCAAAATCCCTCATC